GCGTCACGTTGGTTATATTTATCGGCGTGTGGAGAGTTTCTCGAACATTCAGACTACGTAACAATACTGACACGCTACACTAGAGTTGATTCTTACACTCGAGAACCTTCTACAACTTTAGAGAATAGGCAGAAGTTTCGCAATACATATTTAACAGTATAAGTTATGTACATTTGTAAATATAAATTTAATTCAAGCAAAAATCAATATTAAAATAAATATATAATAATAAATCCATCACATAGTGTCCTCGATAACTTCAGAATAACATGGGTTCCATGAAACGAACGGTGACTCTGATAATGACGTATAACATATCATGATCATAAAATTGATAAAGATTACTAAAGGAACGTGATAGTGAAGGGCAGATCCCAGAGGACGAAGGGTTACAAAAGGCAGATCCCAGAGGACAAAGGGTTACAAAGGGCAGATCGGAGAGGGCAAGAGATAACGCATTTATCACAAAGTAAATATGTATGTGTGTGTGTGTGTTTGCTATAAGTAACACATTTTGAGCGTTTTCTAATTTACAAATATGTAACACCTCCTGCATTATTATATGGATATACCCGTAACACAGTGTAATACTTAAATAATTCATATTATTATTTTTAATCTGTAGATCCACACAGCTATTGAACGAAGTTGGGCTTCTTCTGTGACATTTACAGCTGTACAATATCGCAAGTTAGTGTATTAAATACTTACTTAGATTGTACCTTTGACGTTGATGCTACATTTCTATAACCCATTGTCCTGGACTTAAATATTCACTAATGTAATCTTGTGCACGAGTTAACACCTTTTTTGGAAATTTCAGGTTTATGTTTTTGCAAATTTTTCAAAACGTGATAATCTGATAACACTGTATGTCTCTTTGATTTTGAGCTATTAAATGGTAAGTTATTCATATACTTGATACATTTTCTAGACATTTGTTATTGTGATTGTACACATCTCTTTTTAGGCAGAATGGACAATCAGTGGAAGCTGACATGGCAGTGGTCATTCAGGAGATGGTGCCATCTGAAGTGGCTGGAGTGATGTTTACTGTTCATCCGGTCACAGGACACCCGTCCTATATCTCTGTCTCTGCTAACTTTGGGCTAGGGGAGGTAAATGGGAATAATGCTAATTTTTCTAGGATACCTAATTTGTAATTATTTTCAGTTTACCAAAGAGTAGAAAAAATTAAATATTCTGTAACAAAAAATAAACATATTCGTCAAGATGTCTTCTCTAGGTATCTAGAAAGTTTCAATGTTTAGGGTTAACATCGAATTTGAAAATATATTTAAGCCATTTCATAAAACAGATTTGCCTAAATTAGACAAGGAAAGTAAGCAATGAAAGTTTGAATTATGAACACATTATGAGAAGCTTGCAGGTGAAGCTTTTAAGGTTCAGTAATACAGTAATTTTTGTTGGTGTAGTGGCTACATTGCATTGTTAACAGATCATACAAAAGCAGGAGTAAAAAGTAAAAGTAATGAGTAAAAGGGGTAAATTAGCTATACACATTTCTTTGACGATAAGTAATCTTACTAAAAATAGTTCTTAAACAGAATTCGTGTCTCAAGAGAAATTTCCCATTTGTTTTCCATTGTACTGTGTTTTTTTTTCTCACACTAACTCACATATAATAAAGAAAATTAAAATAAACGTAACACTTTTGTATGTTTCCCTTGTACAAATAATATTCTGCAAGCATCAGTAACAGGAATTGCTCCGTCTCAGAATAGTTTTTAAATTGTGTACTTAAAGACGTTGGTATTTTGAGTATTTTAATTTGTTTATCTTTATTGGTATTTTAATGTTTCTAAATATGTGAAAGCTGTTCCCCTGTAGCAGCTTTAACAAATATTTTATTACTTTCTTCATATAATTATATTAACGTGGTATATCTAGTTTCATTTTGAGCCCTGTTTAATCGCACTAAAACAATTAGAAAGAGTACTGAACTAAATAGTTTATATCATTATATATACTTCATATTTTTATAATACAGTATTCACTCTTGTTTTACTGCGTTGTCACTTGTTATTAGACATTATTTAGACATTAGTGTTACCTATTAGTGCATTAGTGTTACCTATTAGTGCATTATTATCACAGTACTATCATCATCGTTAAACCAAAACTCAAATAACTTACGAATATAAGTGGCATTGGAAAAAAAGTTGCAGTTGACTTTGATAGAATGTGTTTGTAGCAGCGAGCAGGATGTGCAGGACACTGTATTGGTGTGAGAGATTAGCTTCTCATTCTAAGCTCTGCTGTCTTCTGGTTTATTTCTACGAAATTTCAAAGTCATTTTTATAATTTATGTAGTCTGTGGTGTCCGCAGCTTCGGAACCTGACACATACACTTTACGGAAATTTGGCGAAGCAGACGTTATTCTTCACGATCGTATTCTGGGAAAAAAGGGGACAATATTCAAAATGACGGGTTAGTGTGTTTCTGGATTTTTTCACAGTTTCTAAAAATTGAGTGAAAGATCAAAGTATTAAGAACACTGTATTACGTTTTGCAGTTGTCTTGAAAAGTTTTCAGTAATTTTTTTTACATCGTAAGAATATGATTAAATTTGCTACCTACAAGAAACATGTGATAAAACAATTTAATCCGTTTTTGATTAGAGTTAATGAAACTTTCTTATTTTTACGAGATGTTTTAAGTTGTCTTTACATTGTCCAGTTGCTTCACTACTGAACATAAAATACGTTTTTTTATTATTAAACTTTTGAATGTGTTTAACTTACACACAGAAGAAAGTGGAACGAAAAAAGAAGCTACAACGAAGACGGTCTCATCTGAGTGGTGCCTTTCGAAAGAAAAAGTTGAGACACTTGGAAAACTGGGTATTTTAGTGAGTTTAATTTTGTTGTTCTATCTGAAAATTTATAAAAAAAACTTGCCCATAACGAGTTTCTATTTGTTTATTCTTATAAAATAAAAACGTATTTCAAAGCTCAATTAACAAAGACTGGTCGTATCAGTTCATACTTTGTTAATAACTAATTTTTGAAAGTTTGTTTGTTTGCTTTTTGAATTTTCGCGCAAAGCTACACGAGGGCTATCTGCGCTATCCGTCCCTAATTTAGCAGTGAAAGACTAGGGAGAAGGCAGCTAGTCATCACTACCCACCGCCAACTCTTGGGCTACTTTTTTACCAACGAATAGTGGGATTGAACGTAACATTATAACGCCCCCACGGCTGAAAGGGCGAGCATGTTTGGTGGGACGGGGATTCGAACTCGCGACCCTCAGATTGCGAGTGGAACGCCCTAACCACCTGGCCATGATTAATTTTTGAGAGTTATCAATTGAGAAAAGACGGAACAGTGCATAATTGAAAATTGAAAAAGAAGGAATTAAAACTTTTTTTGAAATATGCTATTATTTAAAATCTTAAAGTGAAATTTTAATATGAATATAAGTAATTTGTTAATATCATAATAAGCAAAAACTTATTGGTTTCGCAGAACAATAAAACTTACAGTATTTATTGATGTTTATCAATATTAATAAAAATAAAATATTAATCAAATAATATGTTATATTTGGAAATAAAGTGACGTCGATATTTCACTTGTATATATATATATATTGTTAGGAAAAAAACGCATTTTGAGTTGCATAATTTGTTAGAACTGCTATGAAAGATTTTTCAAATTATTTCTTTTCGTTATTAGGTAGAATTGGCATTTGGTTCTTCACGTGACATTGAATGGGCTATCAGTAACAACAATTTCTTTCTACTTCAGGTAAGATTTTTTCGAATTTAACACTAGGACGCATAAGAGGGAGGTCTCTTGGACCCAGCCTCTACTGTACATTTGTGTATATTATGTTGTCCATGAATCCTAGGGTTAACTTCATTTACCTTAATAATTAATATGCTTATTATTTTAACCCCTTACTTACCACATGATTGCACTTGGTACGTTTGTGTGTTTGTTTGTTGAATTTCGTACAAAATTGCACGAGAGCTAACCCTGCTAGCCGTTCCTAATTTTGAAGTGATAGGCTAGAGGGGAGGCAGTTAAACCTCCAACTCATAGGCTACTCTTTACCAACGAATAGTGCGATTGACCGTTGCACTATAAAGCCCCCCCCCCCCACAGCTGAAAGGGGGAGCATGTTCGGCAACGGGTTTAAATCCAGCGACCTGAATATTGCGTGTCCAGCACCGTAATTACCAGTCTATGACAGGCCCTACTTGATATGCCTGCTAGTTGTATTCTCAGAGACAATACTGGAGCACCTTGATAAGGGTTTTTTCCCCACTAACCATTGACATATCAATCAAATGCCCCCCCCCTCCAGTGGCATAGCGGTATGTCTGCGGACTTACAACGCTAGAATCCGGGTTTTGATACCCTTGGTGGGCAGAGCGCAGATAGCCCATTGTGTTGCTTTGTGCTTAGTTACAAACAAACAAACAAATATCAATCAAATATAAAGTTTTTGGTATTTCCCCAAATTTCTAAATTTCTTCTGTTTCCTTGAAACGCAAAATGCCTGGTCGTTAAAGGGTTAAATCAAACACAAAAGAAAGTAGTATTTGAAATGGTTATAATACACCTCAAGAAACAATAATGTTATGGGTATTTCAAAATCAACTATCATAAAAATACAGGGTGAATGAAATGCAACTGAAATAGGACAGAGGTTCAGTAAGCAGGACAAAGAATATACTATATAAAATTCGATGATGCCTTTAAACAAGACTAAGTCTATAAGACCATAAAACAAACCATGGAAGTGGTTGTAAATAGCTCCCTAATGGCTCAGTGGTAAATACGAAGGTACATAACCCTAAAAACCGGGTTTTGTTACCCGTAATGGGCATGCTATAGACAGTCCATTGTGCATTTTTATGCTTAACAACAAAACAAACAAACAAAATCATGGTAAATATTTCCGCAAATGTGAAAATATATATTTTAGGGATTTTTATTGTAAATTTTTGTTTATTTTTTTATTGAGCACAAACCTACACAATGGGATATCTGTGCTGTACCCATCACGGGTATAGGAACCCCATTTTTAGAATTATAATTTCTCAGGCTTAGTTGCTAAAGGAGAAATGATTATGTTCAGGAAAAAGTCGAAAACGTGAAAAATGTAAGGAAAAGTAAAATAAGCATTGAGTCTTATCTTTTAATTATTAAAAATATATTGAGCTTAATTTCATATGTTTGAAAACATAAGGCTAGTTAAGTAAGTGAAATAATATTGAATAACAAAATCGATTCTGTAATTACGGGGTAGGTATAATATATGCATAAGTTAATGATTCTGTAAATTTGTTTGTTTGGGATTCTTGCACAAACTTAATTTTAGACTGATAGACAGCTAATCAATAGCATACACTACCAACTCTTGGGCTATTTTTATCTAACCAAACATGGCAATTGGACAATCACTCTTATATCGCATCAATTGGCCCCAAAGTACGAAGCGCGGGTTTTGGGTCAGCGAGACGCGAACCATGAGCCCTCAGATTTACACTCTATGTACGCTAACCACTAGGTTCGCTCATTCGATTTCCAATATGTGAACTATTATAGCATTTATTTGAAAACCAATATTTTAGACTTTTTAAACAGTTTGAGTTTACGAAATTGTTTCACAAAATGCGTCTGGAAATTTACAGGCAGTTTAACTGGGTCAGTTACAGTTAATGCTTTCCATTTTTATATAAAAAGCTTAAATAGATTTAAGATGATTTTGTAAGTGTTAATACTATGAACATAAATTATGTTTTTTATTCCAAAAACGTCTAATATATATCAAAATACTATAAGCTAATGATCTGAAGAAACCATATAACTCTCTAGCGTCTAATTTATCTTGGATCACGTCCAAACTGTTTATAATTTAAGCTTCCTTAGCAAATGCACTTACTAGTCAGTCATTGTTTTTTATAGTTTAAAAAAATCTGTGAGAAACGGAGAAAATATAAATATTTTACTATAATCTTAAATATAAGACACGGTACCAAAAATGATATTTTCTCACGACCATCAGTTTGTTTTTGAAGTTTTAAGATTAAGACACTGTTGAATGTTAAAACGTGATTCAAAATTTACTACTACAATTTGACTCAATGACGGACTTTAAAATTCCACTATCGATTCAACATTTGACTTCTTAATTTAATCTCAGTTAATATATTTTCCAACTTATTATAAGTGGCATCTAGAATGTTCTATATATATATATAGGCTCGTCCTGTAACCACAGAAGACAAGTTCACTGATTACGAACTGGTGCATGGCTTAGATACAGGGTTACCAACAGAAAATGAGTATTTAAGTATAGCGAACCTTGGGTAAGTTTGGTACAATAATATTGCAAATAAAAAATGAAAATATTTTCATATAAAAGTTTATCATTTAAAAAAAAAGGAACACAGTTGTCTTGAATATCTAGCTTTATAGGAAAATATATAGATCTAAGTTGGGAAATCAAAGTATGCTTATTGAAACTTGACATTTTTATCAGTTTACAATTGCTTAAAAGTGAAAACTAAATCAGCTTTTGAATCTTAAAAAAAGTACCGTCTAATTATTATATTTATCTGATCAACAAAAGCAATCTTAAAAATTGAGAACTAACACGATAGAGATTCAGACTTTCGTTGCTTCATAAATAAAAATGGAACCGATTCATACCAAAACCTAGATTTTTCGAAAAAAAAAGAAGAATATATATATGTGAAACCAACAATAAAGTAGAAGGTGAAATATATGTGATATGTTGGTGAGGTAGAGCATTTTTATCATGATTATTTTGTTTCACGTTCAAAATGAGAATCGCTTTTCAAAAAACAAAAAGAATCGCTGATATTCTGTTTTTAAGTTATTTTACTAGTCGACAAAGTCATGATCTAACATTTACTTCAATTATTTAAAATCGTCATAACCAGTATATTAATTTGAGAGGTTGTTGCTATTTTTTTGTCACTTACAGGGAAGTTATGCCAGGGGCTACGTCGCCATTGTGCTTAACTACAACATATATTACTCTAAGGTCGGCGTTCATGGTGAGCTAATGCTTATTTTTATTAGTTCTTGTAATATTTCTGTTTATAAAAAAAACTCATTGATATTTAGAAAATATCTTACTTTATCGGAGTTGATTAAATTAGGAAATAGACTGTTTAGGTATCACAATTACCCTAGTGTTGTAGTGTCATCCTGTACGGTTTTATTGTCTATTCAATCTTAAAAGTTTCAATTTTACACTAAACTTATGTCCTTAAAACGATTTTGTCATACTAGCATAACAACTTCAAACAGATTTTGCCTTTAAAGTTTGGCATCCCTAATAATATTGTTTTTCAGTATCTTTTTCACGTTAGCATCACGTAGAACAAGAAATACTTTAATACATAAAGCTATAATTTTAGTAGTAAAGATTCCTTCAATTGAATAATTAGTATGTAAACTGTAATGACTAGAAACTAACTGAAAGTTACTAAAGAATTACACATTGATGCAAGCCGAGTAAATATCAAGTCATAAACTTTTCATTTAAAAGCTGGATATACTAAGGTTAGATGTATATAATGCGTGCAATATTAGCTCTAATTTTTATGATTATCAAGAAAAGACATGTCCTAGGAGCAAATGCATGAAACATTTTGATTAAGTGCTTTTGCTTGTAATCTGGTTTCAAAATAACAAAACAAGCCGACACAGTTTACAATAAGAACACTGAGGTGAAGTATACATTTGTAATATTCACTCTTAAATTTGGCTATAATTCTACTGTTTGACGTTCAGTCTGTTCAATTTGTAATTAGAATCACAGAGAGAGGATAAAATTTCAGGTATAGATTTCAGTGCTGTACATATAAAAAATATTGCCTCAAGTCTATATTAAGAACTTTTTTCTTGACTAAAATATACAAACACATATTTGCACTTTTTTAGTAAACTATTAATTAGGATTTTTTAAATAGTGCATTTGCAAGAAGGCTTATTTGAATATTTAATTTTTTTGATAAAATGGAACCATCATTTTGGATGTTTTTTGACTTAGGATAAATATTGTTTGAAAGAACATAAGAGGTTTAGATCAGCATCACACAACAATGTGCGTTTGTGTGTGAATGTAAGTGTGTGTAGTTATTGCATGAACTTGTTTGATTCTAGCATCTTTAGAGCAACTACATGATTACTCGGAAATTGGGTGCTGTTAAACCCAGAATAAATCTCGTTAACAACACTTGAGAATTAACATATAGTGTTCTTTTTGTTCAGTTACATTTGCACCACAGGCGAGGTTCATGGCACCCATTCATTCCACTTTTCTGCTCTGATCACATCATGTCTCACAATCATAGCATGTTTGCTATTGAAGAGGTAAGTGTACTTTGTTACGAAGTCCAATTTTAGATAATTTATGACTAGTAATGAACACTAAAAAAAACAAGTGGTTCAATCTCACCAAGTTTTTCTAATTACGCGTTATGACAAAAATCTAGTTATCCATGATTTGACACAAAAAAAATATTTTACTTTAATGTTTTGCATCAGAACACCACAATAAAATTTCACTTCGCGAAAACATCTTTATATCACGTGTTCACTTTATGTGTTTCGCTTAACTTTTCTTCTAATTGAATAAAAAGTTTTATAAAGTTTCAAGGTGGTCGTAAACACACACAACGACATCTATGTTATTATTTAGAACAAACACTTCAAAACAGGTAAATTTAGTATGTAATCTATTCCCAAGAACAGCTTTGAGGAATTAAATCATACGAATCGTTTCTTTAACAAAACAAATACATAACTGTTATTTCAAGAACTGATTTGTTATGGAGCAGTTCACAGTATGTTTTAGTGAAAGTGTCTACCTTGGTTGCGTTTTGTCTAGAAAGATGTTAAACTCTTTCTTAAACATATGTCTATTTATCTATTTATACTTCTACCAAAATAATTATATTTTTTTCCCAGAGCTTCTACTGAGTTTCTGTTTTAAATATGAATCCAAGTGAGACAAAATGGAAATAAAACTTAACTGAATCAATAAATATTTGTTATTAATTACATTTAATATAATCTGAGTTCATGTTATTCACTGAAGAGTGTAAAATTATGTTACTGATTCATACTTATGGTCATATTCTAGTCTTCAAGTAAGATAAAAACAACTGTGTTTGTGATTTAACTAATCTTCTTTTATTGGCTATGTATGGAATATGTAATTTTGAGTAGACATTAAGAAGAGTAGATTAAAGCACGTGTTTATTTCTGAAAAAAAAACATATACTTCATCTAATTAAATCTGTGTTAAACCAGACTATTATGAAAGAAGTAGAAGAAGAAGACAGTCTGATCTCACGAGCGTGGGAGCTGTCTATGTTTGGTAGATTTTTGGAAGAACGAGAGCAGATCAGGCAGAGAGTAATTCATCGATTTGGTTACCTTCCAAAGACAGTTAAATGGAAAACGTTGTTGTATATAATGGTGGTAAGTACATGTGTTATAACAAGAGTAATTTTATATACGTTCTGACGTAACTACGTGATCGCTGGCCTCTATAAAAATTTCATGATACAAACCTAAGTAGTTTACAAAAACTTTCTAATACTTTATATCCGGGTGTGAAAGAAAGAAAATGAAATTCTTTTTTTTTTTACACGGTTTAGAAGGTACAAGCCAATACTTATTTTAATTTTAAATAACGGGGATAACTTAGTATTATCTTTCATTACAGGATGCAATCTGTCCCGAGAGATCAGTGGAAAATGTCAAGCAGAAAGTTTTGAATTTTCGACTTCCTCCGGAAGTTATGAAATCATCTAAGACCTTGTATGAATATTTAACCTTGCACCTTACAGACCTGATAGAGGTAAGGCTAGACAATAATTTTTTGTGAATACCTAAGATTGCATCTTACAGACCTGATAGAAGTGGGAGTAGACAATATATATAGTTTTTGTGAATACCTGAGATTGCACCTTACAGACCTGATAGAGGTAAGGCTAGACAATAATGTTTTGTGAATACCTAAGACTGCACCATACAAACCTGATAGAAGTGGGACTAGACAATATATATATATAGTTTTTGTGAATACCTGAGATTGCACCTTACAGACCTGATAGAGGTAACACTAGACAATAATGTTTTGTGAACACCTAGGATTACACCATACAGACCTGATAGAGGTAAGGCTAGACAATAATTTTTTGTGAATACCTAAGATTGCATCTTACAGACCTGATAGAAGTGGGACTAGACAATATATATAGTTTTTGTGAATACCTGAGATTGCACCTTACAGACCTGATAGAGGTAAGGCTAGACAATAATTTTTTGTGAATACCTAAGATTGCATTTTACAGACCGGATAGAGGTAAGGCTAGACAATATTTTTTTGTGAATATCTGAGATTGCATCTTACAGACCTGATAGAGGTAAGACTAGACAATAATGTTTTGTGAGTACCTAGGATTACACCATACAGATCTGATAGAGGTGAGACTAGACAACAGTTTTTGTGAATACCTAATTTTGCAAGCTACGTACCTTGTCGAGGCAATGTTGTTTTGATGAGATTTTTATAAAATTATCATAAATAGATTTTTCATTTGAAAAAACTTGAATTCATGAAAAGCAGAGTATTCTTTCCGCTGATGAGCTAACTATGATCAAATAAAAAAATGACTTAATATATATAGTGCACTCAAGTAGATGCAGTGAATACACGAGTTAAGTTCTGAACATTTTTGAAACATTCTTTGCCTTTAAGGTAAAACAAACTTATTACACAGGCCTGAGAATGTAAACTTCATAAAAGTTGTTTTGGTTTTAATAAAGGATCTCCTATAATTCAGCTACGCAGATTTCGAAAATAATATTCATTTTTTTCTATCACATAAGGATTTTTTACAAACCGGGAAGAAATAATTCTTACTTAGGTCAAATTATTATTTCGTTTACAACAATGAACATTTGTTATTATTATGTTTGTTAACAAAAATACAAACAAACTGAAGAAAAGGGGAAGAACATTGATGTCAAACGAATATACATTCTTATTCCTCCTGATTTATTGTGTGAAGTCTACATCTTTACAACAATGAACATTTGTTATTATTATGTTTGTTAACAAAAATACAAACAAACTGAAGAAAAGGGGAAGAACATTGATGTCAAACGAATATACATTCTTATTCCTCCTGATTTATTGTGTGAAGTCTACATCTTTCAGTCTAAAAATTACGTATTGCGGCCTCTCTTTTATGTATTGCGTTATGACATTTTATGAAAAATCTCTACGTGATTGAGAAAAATGGATATCATTTTCGGATTCAGCGTACAGGAATTACTATAGAACATATAAACATTTCAAGACAATAAAACCATCGCAGGCCTGTGTTATTAGATGTTATTTATTAAAGATATTTGTTTTATTTATTTCAGGTTACACTCGTTCACGATGTTGTTTCCACGTTTTCCTCAGTGATGAACACTTTATTGTTTGGTCAAATAATTGATAGTTATAAAGGTAATTACTTATACTTTTCTGGTAAAAACGTGTGTAGTATGTATGTTTCCATACATACACTATAAAAGCACTTCTGTGTACTTTATAGTTATGAGATAGTTAAGCCTGTTTGTTTATTTTTGTAGAAATACCAGACCACTATAAAACACTTATTTCGTTGTTGTATTGTTGATAACGTAAACATTTTTTATTCCCGTATTCTAACCTTACAGTCAATTATTGATGAATCGTCAGTAGTCACCTGCAAAGAACGAATAAAAAAAGATCAATTTCTTAATGAGAAATATGTATAAAATATTCACCAGATTTAACATAAGTAATGAGTTTATAATATGCTATATAATGATATATTAAATAAATTACACTTACTAGCTATATAATATTAATGGAAGATTAATTATACACTGTCTTCTTAACCTTCTTAAAAATTAGACGTAGTGACTATAGTTCTGCAAAAGTCATGATATAATGACTATTTTTTATTTCGTTAATTAAAGCATTTTACATACCGCTACGTTTAATAAGCTTATTAGTCAAACTTTCAGAATAGAATTTGTTTTGTAAATTAATGGTGAGCTTCTGAATTTTGTCCACGTACACTTATAATGAATTATAATGTATATAACGCCATATAAAATTGATTCAAATAAATAAAAAAAAATATGAATTCAGAATAGAAAGTTTAAGTTTTATTAAATTAAACAATTTCAATTAGAATATTTGAGTAAAAATATTTATATTGAACTCGTAAACTCTAAATAGTGTTAATAGTTCGTAGTGAGGAGCAGTTTAATTACTGATAATAAAAAAACAAGTTTCGTGATATCAATATTTCTTTTAAAAAAAAAGAGTCGTGTTTAACAACAACGTCAATAAATCTACAAACTGGACTAACTTATTATTTCTCAACATTAGAATTTTTTTTAAGGAGGCACATCATTCTGCAGTGTTACAACCTGTCTGGATTCGAACCTGTGACTCTGTTAATAAATGTAACATACAAACATAATTCTAATTCTAATAAATATAAATAATTAAATTATGCCCCAAAGTTCCCATTTAAGTATTCCTTGGACCTACTGGAAGACAAGTAAATATTTTTCGTAATTCTTGTCACGATTTACTACGGTGGAGTTTCATGAAATGTTAAATGAAAAATCATTTTAAAGATCTAAAGAAGGAATTTAGGATTTTAATAAAAGTACCATCAGAGATAATTCTATGTTAAGTTTACAACTCTCGTTCATCGATATGAACTCATATTAAGTTGTAAATGGGTGAGGATGTGTTAAAAAATATAAAGTTTTCTAATATTTTCTTCAAACGTTATTATTATAAGCTTGACCAAAATGAGTTACATACACAAGGAATGAGTGGTTAAGCACATAAATCTGTCAAACATTATCTTTATTAAGACCTATACAAAAACTATTTATCTATATAATGGTTGGAGACGGCTTAAATGGGTAATGAAGAAAAACTTTAAAATGTTTTTTCTTCAATTCCCATTCAAGCCGTCTCCAGCCATTATTAGTCTCAAAGTGGGTTCCTCGTCACCGTATTTATCTATATGTTGTTGTTGTTGTTTTTTCTTTGGAGATGGGCGTGTCTTAGTGGTTAACATGCTAAACTGTGAATCAGAAGGTCTCGATGCCCCTGAGCACAGTCCACACTTTCAGCTATTAGAGCGATATGAAAATGGCAGTCAGTCCCGTTATTCGATTCTTAAAGCCAAATAATACCCGGGGTGGGAGGTGCTTCTCACTTACTGTTCTCCAATTGGTTAGCTCATGTGCACATAAAGTGTCTTTCAAGATGAAAATAGCAATGCCACTATACATTTTACTTTCATTGTAATTCAAGTTCGTGAGTTATTTCAATCAAATGAGTGATCAGAAGACCACATTATTTAACTATATTCACGTATGTGTACATACAAACCTTGTACTAATTGCGATAATAAAGATAAGTAAATTATCATCCTTTGAGCCTAAGGAAAAAAAAGTGAATTTTTATCATATATACTGTCATTGTTGTTTTAGTGTAAAGCTACGCAATGGGTTATCTCTGCTTTCTCCACCATGAGGTATCGAACTCTGGATTTTTAGGATTGTAAGTCCATAAATGTACTATTGACCAATCAGGATACATCATTTATGAATTAGATTATTATGAAATTAGTGTTGGTATAAGAGTAATGACAATTTAAGTTGACACTGTTTTTTATGTTGCTTGTGCCTTACAATTCTGAAAAATCCCTGTTTTCGGTATATGTAGCTTTTTTATTCATTAATCTCTTACTTGACTTATTATCAACACATATATTTACTGCAAACGCAACTTGTTTTTGATTCCAGAAAACATTGGAGAACTGTTAAAAGACATGGCGAACCTTATTTCTGTCGGGAAGAATGTTGAAAGTGCTAACGTTCCGATACAGATTCAGGTAATACTGAACTTTAACATAAGTTTACATTCGAACTTGGAGATAAAACTCGAAACCTTGAACTAAGCAGGACAACTGAGCTTTGATGGAAAAAAAAATCTTTCACTTTGTAATTTGACGTCATTTTTTTTTCAACGCATTTCATAATACATAACAAAGTTTCCATTTTATATACCTTTACAATTTGTTGTTTTTTACTTTGAAAGCAGCGAAGGAACGATGGAAATGTTTGTCTTATATAGATGTTTTTTTAATCATTTCCGTTAAATATCTTTACAACAAAGTATTTGCTTTTCAACAAGTCTAAATTATTGCTTAAACTAAGGGAGAAATAAGTACTTACTAACTGTTTGACGTTTTTACATTTTGCATAGTTACAAACGTACAAATGTCGTATTATTTGTTATCTCGAATTTATGATATAATTTTTTTGTACTTTATGACATACCCTGAGCTCTATGAAATCCTGTGATGTGAGATTCATTTGCAATATTCTTTGTTTTTCTCTTTTTCACCCGATTCCTCAGGAACTGGCAACTGAGGTTTATAAATCCGGTTTTTCAGACACATTTGAAGCTATGGAGAGCCAAGTTAGTTCACCTTTTTTTTGTTCTTGAAATTCAAATCACAACAAATTATATTTTTACATACATATAATTTGAGGCTGATTTTATTTTCTTATTTTGATCGTTTTTACTACAATAACGGAGAGTCTGTGAAATTGTTTAGTTATTTTAAATTTGTTTTAGCGATTATGTAAAGTAAATTTTATACATTTAAGTATGTCAACATTTAGTTTTGGTCAATGCAAACTCCCGCGCTATTCATTTTTGTCATTCGCGACACTTGCTAAGGTTCACCTCTGATTTGAACTAAATCGATTTTTAGCTGTTTTTAGAGAAAAATAAATGCTCAGATTAAATGAATGTTTTTGATTTCACAAATTATACAAAATATTTTCGAGCTGAATAATGAATGAATCACTCTCAATGTTGAACGTTTTGGTACACGAGAAATAATCATTATGGAATATGTTGATTTTGTCCCCCTCATTAAACCTAGAAAGACAAAAGTTTGTTATTTTACTAATCCAATTATGTTCCGACAGGATGCGCTGCAGTGGTTGAGAACAGATAAAGGCACAGTGGGAATCAAATTTCGAGATTTTGTTTCAACTCATGGACATCGTTGTCTAAAAGAGGTATTTATGTATTTACATTGGAGAAAAATCGCGTTACTTAGAAATTGCTTATTAACAATCACAATTAATATTACCACATTATCGAAAGTCAACAAAAAGTTCCTTTATGAGTACAAGATAGTAATGTATTTGGCCATTAAAATAAGCAAATGAATAAATAAAATAAAACACATTCAGCAATTTGTTGTGAATTTTCTAAGTGGCTGACTTGCTGAAGGGGTTGTGTTGAACCTTTGATATATTTTACATAACCACCAGAACTTAAACAACTCCGTGTGTGCTGCAATCGTGTAATCATTCATGCCCAATGAACTTAAAAAGAAAATACGTACAATAATACCTACAGGTACTTATAAAAGAAATGCTTTTAATTAGCGTTATATATATAATTTTGAAAAACAGGTTGTTTAATAAATTAACTTATTTGTTCAAGAATATTTCTGTATGCGTAGTTGGACTCCTTGATCAAGCCGTGGAATGAAGATCCTGAGAGTATAGTGAAGACATTGCAGGTAAGTAGAAAGTATCATTTTGATTTGATTTCATACTAGGGCAAAGTGATTTATGATAAATTAAAAGGTTATAAAGCGATTAACAATTTTAGTCTACTTTATGTAAATATATTATATGTAAGAAACATAGCATATAGTTCAACATAGGCCTGGCATGGCCAGGTGGTTAGGGTGCTCGACTCGTAATCTGCGGGTCGCGGGTTCGAATCCCCGTTACACCAAACTTGCTCCGTGTGGGCGTTATTATGAGACTATTCGTGGTTAAAAAATTAGTAGCCCAAGAGTGGGTGGTGATGACGAGCTGATGACCCTACTAAATTAGGGTCGGCTAGCGCAGTTAGCCCTCGTGTATCCATGCGCGAAATTCATAACAAACAAACAAACAGTTCCACATAAATTAACCACGAAGTGTCTTTTGATAGATAAACATGTTGAAGCGCCAAATAACTAACTTGCACTAATTTATTGTAGTTTGTGATTTTCGTGGTCATAATTCTTTGTATAATGATTTCTTTTCTTTTGGCTTTGAAACAGCTTTGGATGAGTTGGCGTAGCAAAAAAACAAAAAAAACACTTAATGTAAGAAAATGAACTAATAAAAACCTAAATTCTGTTAAACTTTCATCACTATTTTAATTTTCGGCAAACTATTTTAAAACTTGTTTGTTTATTTGGGTTTTTAAGTCCTTTTCCAGTATCAAAGAGAACATTAGGCCTTTACGTCACAGATTCTTCTGTCAATTTTATCTTTGGTGAAATTGAAAGGAAATTTGTAACATATACGTATATGTAACCATTAAATACTTGATCCGGTATATAACGTGAAAGAATTATTTAGGCACGAGTTTTAACATTATTCAAGTAACTAAATAATTTTAGGTTACTCTATTGGTGATTGAAAAGGACTTAAAAAAACCATTAATGTTGTATACAAATCACAGTTATAAGGGGCCTATCTGTATTTCTTTTGTGAAATTGAAAAGGAATCTGTAATTTGTTTGGGCTGTCTGTGCGGACTGTGGGTATTTCGATAAGCAAATGTTTTATTTTTATTTATTTCCGTGTGTAATCTTCATCAATTTAATTTCAAAACACGTATAAAAGAATCAATTAAAAATATAATAGGGCAGAAAAAATATATAACTTTGTATGATTGGTTTGAATGTAGCGCAAAGCAATACGAGGGCTATCTGCGCTAGCCGTCCCTAGCTTAGCAGTGAAAGACTAGAGGGAAGGCAGCTAGTCATCACCATCCACCGCCAACTCTTGGACTACTCTTTTAGCAATGAGTAGTGGGATTGACCGTTACAGTATAACGCCCCCACGGCTGAAAGGGCGAGCCTGTTTGGTGGGACGGGGATTCGAACCCGCGACCCTCAAAACTACAAAACCTGAGTTGCTTAAAAATTTTAAAATGTTCTCCCTACTTTGGCAAATCATAATAATTATGTTAGTCTGAGCCAACGTAGGGATATATTTTTTTTAATTTTAAGTCAATTTTGTAGTTTTGACTTTCTTGTTTCAATACTTTTTGTAGCATTAAAACTTTCTATATTACTATATCTAGCTAGGATACGCATATCGATCCATACTTCTCTTTATAAAATTTAATTTTTTTTTATTATACTTGTTTGTTTCTTTTTTATTAGCTATATTTTTGTGCGCCAGCAATACCAAACGTAGGGCACACGTATACCCGAGGCGATTTCATTACTCATCAGAACTTCTACCAACCTACCCTTAAATCTAAGTATATACCCAAAATAGCGCATCATCCTTTATATATATATATATATATATATATACTAGTATTCTTTTCTGTACAAGAAAGGAATCATTCCGACCCCAGACGGAAGAGTTCTATGAAAGAATTAAAGCGATAAGGTTCGTTATTTTTCCCTGTACGCTTGTCCGAAAAAGTCACTTACTCAGATGAAAATTCGTTGAAATAGTGAAATTTTGATTCACTCTATAAACATGTATATAGCGATTTAGGCGGTTTTATAAGTACATTGTTCATGTTCAGACATTTTAAAGATGTTTTTAAATGGGCGATTTTTATGGCCACTATTTTTTTCCCCATTACGATCCCTACTGTTAAGTATTACCGCACTTAATGATTACGTCTTACCAGCAAAAACATACTGAAAACTGGTTGTAACTCTAAATATGGTTACACTGGCTTTATGGATTGTTCTAAAAACTTAAGATAATGGTTAACCAATTTAAAGTTAAAATTCGCTGATGGTATTGTTGCGTCATCGAGATCACGTGACTATTCTCACGCCCTCTACTTTCTAGAAATAACCTGTACTTTGGCGAATGCTCCAGCATTTCCGAGATATAGGGTAGCTGGTATATAAAAGAGGGTGACAACGTGACGGTAATGTAATGTGTGTGTAGGTAGTGAGTAATTGATCTGCAGTGAGAAAGTATCGTTGAAGTTAACGTTCGTTATAGCGTTTGTTTTAGCGTGAATGTTGAAATCAAGTGTATCGTGAAGTTATATTCAGGAAGAATAAACCAGTTTTATTAAGTTAGGACTTGTGTCGCTAAAGTTTCGTCGGAACGAATTTACGGGAAATCAATTAACAAACGGAGACGTAACAGTATTTTCAATAATCCCGCGAACTAAAAATGAATTAGATAATAACAATTCACAATAGCTTATATTTCAAATTATTTAACATATGTATTAAGAATACATAAGTTTCTTTTTAGTAATCAGGAGTGTTTTAATTAATTTTGCATGTAAGTCGTATATTTATATCATGTGTTACGTTCTTATCTGAGCATATCATAATCCCTAGTTCAAAACTATAAGATGTCATAAAGTGTTTTAATACTTCATGTTAGACAATTTGAGTGATAAGTACTAACGGTTAACACTGTAGGCTTAATCTTGAAATGTTTATTTCGCTAAAAAAAAATAAAATTCAAACATATCAGCCAGGAAACTGTAAGTTTTAATTTTCCAATTCTGTTGTAACATCTCTCTTTTTTACCTTCTTATAACAGGGTATGATGAAAACTGTTCATCATATACCCACAGCTAAACAGAAAGTATCGATTGATGAAGCTATCGATCAGCTGAAGTATAAACCAGCAATGTTTTCACGGTTAGTATTTCATATAAAGCTAATTAGTTTACATAAACCATCAAAAACATCAATTAAAACTTAGCTTATTAATCGAATAAACAACGAATAAGCAATAGTAATGGAGAAAATTCACGTTTTTAACAAGAAATAATAATAGTAATACAGTTTGTAGCTGCTTATTACCAACATTAACCCATTTCGGAATTGAAATAAAATAGTTTTACGTGAAGTTGTATAAAAGAAATTGTGAAAATCAATACAATTTTCATTCCAAACAGCGCTGAATATTTTAAAATTAAATACCGTTACTAGAAAAATATTTTTGTTTCACTATAAGGCTATTCGTCAAAAACTCATTATTGGTGCAAGGTTTCTTAAGGTAGTTTAAGATATATGTTTTCAATTAAAATATTTTTATACTCAGTAATATTCATTTTCAAGCGAAATTTACAAAGTCGTTTTATGTCGGGTTGGATCAACAAAGTATTTTTATAGGTGTTTCATAAGCTATTATATATATATATATATATATATATTTCAGATTGTTCCTACGTTTTCTGGTCTCTCAAGCACGCCGGGGAGTTAGCATTAGAGAAGCAAGTAAGGTTAGTCTGCATGGTCTTTCTTTACTAAAAAAAAGTTTCTGAAATAGTAACAGAAAGATTGTGAAGAAAAAAAGAGAACAACCTAGAAGAAAAACCTATGATTTAATGTGTTAATATACACACATCATAAAGTAATAAGCCTACGTCGATATTCGAAGTACAAAATCGCTCACTAATAAATCTATATAAATATTATAGTGCTGACTGTTGTCTGTCCATGTAACACTTCTCAGTGTTTGGATGGATATTCACCAAAATTGGCAAGAAGGTTCATTAGGTCCATGCAGGGGTACATACACATTTTCAGTTTGGCATTTCGCGTTTTGCGGTTTTGGGGGGCGTTTTTGCCTTTTTACCACGAATTCACGAGACTTTTGGTAAATGTATCTCTCAAAAGAGAATTAATGAATGCTTTTAAAACGTAAAAGTAAATAAACACTGAAACATACATGTACACATATCTATCTTTTCATCATTCTAGTTAATAATGTCGTGTATTAAAAGAACTGAAATGTTACGCATGATAATCTTCTAAAAATCTACAAATAGCATAATAGGTGATTTAATACGTTTAAGAATTGTTGTACGTTTAATCTGGGTATTCTGTTTAGTCTGTTTTCGTGAAATCCGTGGACAATTTTCGGAAGGGTTATCGTTTATTGGGAAAATTAATGGTTAAAGAAGGAAGACTTCCTGAACCTGACTTGCTTCACTTCTTCACTAATGAAGAGATCCGAGAGCTGTTGACAACGAGGTCTTCACATTTACTCTCAACGTAAGTTTACTTAATGAATTTAAATTTTAGTGTAATTCATTAAAAATTCGCAAAATATGATCACTCGAATAGTTCCATGTAGTCTCATGTTCTTTATCTTACGTTACTGCATATTGTTGGCACTGTATTTATATTTGTTTGTTTATCTGCATGCGTATTGTTATAATATAAATAAAAACATACCCATCGCTATGCTTTGTTTTATTTGAGAAAAACACACTAATTTTCACAGTTGTGATAACAGTCTTCATGTAAAAGTCTGAGAGGAAAAAACATAAAGTTGCATTGCCGTCAGATTTTTACTACGAAGTTAAAATCACTGAATTATTAAATAAAAAGCACGCGATCAATATATCAAATCCTAATTAATATTAACTTCACATCAGAGCAAGCTGTCTAGTTAGATCAAAATTAAAAAGAAACCTGGTAATGGATATAGGTAACTAAATACACTTTTCTTATGTTCTTACTTATAAAGATTATAATGCGTTGTTTTGTGAGTTAGACGCCTTTGCTGTTAACGATATTTTCGGTCGTAACTCCAATAATATCTCGTCCAGCTTAGGAGATTTAGGTTAGACCTAAATCCCTACACTAAGCTAACAGTGCAAAACAAACTTTATTATAAATGTATAATAATAAAAATGTAAATATAATAAAACAAGATATATTAGACATTCTATCCAATACTGTTAATAATAGTAACATTAACGAAACATACCTTACATACGGACCACATAAACGCTAGTTGTTAGCTTCATGTGGCTTGAAGATTTAATGTAAAAAGAGTTAAATAATCAAAACAAATTATAAAGAAAATTAAGGATTCATATAAAATAAAGGTATGTAAGTCTGAAAAAATATATAAGCATTTATTGTAGTAGAGTAGAATAACAATACAATTAAAGTTCGGTGGGAATTCCATTGATATTAACACCTTAATAAGGGAAACATGTATAGCATTTAACGGAGTTCGATTTAGGATTTCTTACATGTCATGTATAAAAACAAGCTTCTTTAGTGCTATATTTTCAGGGTAACTGATAGTATCTTTCACCAAAAACACTAAAAAAAATCACATACAAAAAGGTTTTGAAGGAATAGTAAATCTTTCTCATTTTGTTGACATTAGTATTTACCCCCCAATTTAAAACATTCTTTTTTACATTGTAATATGTAAAATATCAGTTATACTAAGATAATTAACACACAAAGTCAACTTAAGATTACTTGCTTTTTTGTAAGCTAAACTCACCCCTTTTAACCTCAAGGCCAGATACTGAGTAAAACAAACAGAAACAACAAATTTTAAATGTTTATGATAATTACTAAAAAATATAAACACCTAAATGGCGTCTTTGACTTACACAAAGACAATCACAATTCCCTTATTTACTGTTATAAGATTTTAAAAAAGGTAAATAACTTATTAAGGAATTGTTGTGTAATTTATATTTACTTTACTGTTAAAGACTAGGCTATGATGCTATAAAACGTATATCATTAGGTTTGAAGACGAAAATATTAAGTTTAGGATTATTTAACTGTCAATATAACTGTTTGCAGGTAGATTTCTTAACTTAGAATTTAACTACCTACTCTGACTGTTCTTTTGTTTTTATTACCAGTGCCTTTCGCAGACGCAAACTTCACGAGAAATTGGATGCTATGATCTTTCCAGAAATTATGATTGGTGAACCCAAACCAGTAAGTAAAAGTAACACGTCTTCTTTACTTTAAAGAACGGTCGCAATGCAAAACTTGTAGTTAATTGTTTTCTTGTTGATGAACACCTGAAAAAATAATAGTAATAAAGTTTAGAATAATTTTCTTGAATAAGAGACTTATTTCATCAATAAATCCAAATAGTTCTTGCTTCATGAGAAGATTGAATCAAGTATTAGTTTTGCCTTTGACACACACACACACAAAATCTCCGTTCTTGCAGGTTAAAAACTTGCCTTTTTAAAATTCTGATATCTTTGTTTAGTAAATTTAACACACATGCATATATATATAGCATTCCTTTTAGTAATAATGATTATATGAGAGTATATAACAAGAGTTTGTTAATTTCACTGGTATGTGTATTTATTCAAAGGAAAATTACTCTTTAAACAGGACAAAACAAAATTATTAGTAAAAATCAAAACGGTAATAATTATGTATTGATACACATTTGTATTCAATCACAGAAACATTTTTATCAATCGTTTTAATACATTTTGTGGTTGACAGGTCATCGCAGAAGAATGTGTGAATGTCTATTCATCTCTTCAAGAACTACGAGGTATGGTTATTATTATTTATTTGTACATAAGCATAAACTAAAAAGTTACTTTATTGTAAACATCCAGACTCTTAGGAATCTGTCAAGATCTGAAACTCTAAAAAATAAAGTAACTTTAAACTTAAGTTCTACTGACAGGTGGTATTAATGAAAGTTTACAAACATGATTCTGCTTAGTCTCCCAATATCTGGTATTATGTAAATCAATTAAATTGTTAGTACGTAATTATGTTCATCGCATTTCGGAATGAGATACTATTCTCTTAAAAGAAATCAGTTGAGTATTTACTTCTCAGTTTTATGATACACTTATAACACTTTAATGGAGTCAATGCTCAGGCTGCTGATTTTCAGATTTCAGTAATTTACTTGACTGATGCCCCCCAGTGGCACTTACAACGCTAGAATCCGGGTTTCGATATCCGTGGTGGGCAGTGCACAGATAGCCCAATGTGTAGCTTTGTGCTTAATTACAAACAAACAAACAATACTTGACTGATAATATAAAAACGTAACTTTTTTCGCTCCCACGAAAACATAAATCATAAAAAAATACTTATGGCTTAATAGTATTTTTATGGTATTTAATTTTACTTATTAAATTAAACGAATGAGTATTTACAATTGTAAAGTGAGTTGATTTTTCACTTTTAACATATTAGAAGAAAAGTACTTTTTGTGCCTGCTGAAAATAAGCTGTCGTTGACGATCTTACAAAGTGTTACATTTTCTTCTTGCAGTCTTTTCTTGCCTTGTTAAATAAATATATATATATATTTACATTGTTAAACTAATTGAATAAAACATATCGAATCCAACCTATAATTATTACAATAAAGCATGCTATAAAAATTTTAATTAATGGTGTAGCACAAGCAAAAAAAATCGGTATAATTCATATATTATTTTAAATAATATTACTAAGTTAATCAGTAATTTATCGTTAAAAACATAACGTATCAATACATGATGTAGCCATTCGCGACCGTCTTTGTCTTTTTTAAAAATGTAGGTTCAATTTTCTAAACATCTTTCATAATACCAGTTTTGGTATTGTATTGGTGTTGTATTATTTGTCACTGCAGTTAATGATTTTAAAGCGTTTAAGAAATAAGGAATTAGGATTCTAATGCCACAAGTAACTGGGTTGAAATGTGTTAATGTTTACCACATCAAAAATTAAACGGGCAACATTTAATACTATCAAGAATCTTATCGAGATCGCCAGAGTTTGTAGCAATGTCAGTGGGCGTCTGTACTTCTCTCAGATAAGTCAGGGTTTCATGACTTTATTCCAATAATCTGGAGAACCAAAGATAAATGATTTTTTCAGTGCAGCATAATGGCTGAATATTGCAGTTTCGGTGCTGATTCAGTTAGGGTGTAGGAAGGTGTCAATATGAATGAGCTTGCAAATAAATCTTTACCACTGAATGATATATTAATGTGCAATTCAACCAAGTTGTAGGATCTTTCGTGAGTGCAATGAAACCGGGCTTTGTTCTACTGCCGGTTAATATCCAGTGTCATGGTGCAAGGATTGTGAAGGATTACCTTGAACAAAAGACCATATAGATTATTGACTGATCATCAAAAAGACTTGACCTATATCACGTGGAACATCTTTGTGACATTCTTGAATGCAAAGCACATTAATGCCATTTCCTTACTGAGGAATGCGACAAAAACTCCATAACGCCATTTCAAACTCGCCAATAATATGCTCCACATGCACAAACTTTATCAATCAGGAATGGCATACTCCCTACCGAATACATTTTCTGCCAAATACGACTCTTGAAGTCCAGTTGATTCAATCACGCTCTAACTCTAACCACTTTGAATTTGAGAGTCATAACTAGGTACACATTGTCTATAAAACTGATTCATTAAGTGTATTTAGTGAACGGTGCTCTTAAAATATACTGTAATTTCAATTCAAATGTTCATTTAGTTATAGAAGAAGAAAAAAAACTTCCAAGTGTTGCCCGGTTAGTGTTTTCGAGTAGTTTATTTATTATAAGTTACAAAGTTAAGAACAAATTAAGAAACTTTTATTGGATACAGTTTTATGAACAACTTGATGTTATCAATATATCTCTGTTCTACGGATCCGGTTCTTTACCTATACATATATGTCTCACTATCATAAACTGCTTCTTTTCACGCCTAACTCAGGTGTCACAGTTTGCCAAGGAGTTGTGAAGGGCGTTGCTCGTGTAGCTAGAAACCTTACCGAGGCCTCGAATATACAGGTGAGTTTAGCAAAAACGTTATCTAGAGCCGACCCTTTAGGAGACCAGTTTTAATTTGAATGAATTTATTTCTATGTTTCATGTGGTTTATCTTGAATTATATTTGAAGACTTCGATAATTATCTTCACAGTAATAAATATATATATAATGAATTAAATGAATCTATTTCTATGTTTCATGGGGTTTATAATTAAGCATATCTGGAATTATATTTGAAGACTTCGATAATTATCTTCACAGTAATATATATATTATATTTACATAAAACTATGAAAAAATAAAAAATATATAGAATATATATATTATAATATACATATAGTTACAACTGAACCTACAGTGCACAATGTACCTCTTCAAGCGTTGAAGAAACTGAACTCTATGCTGTTAAAATAACGCAAACATAGCTGTTAACAAAGTCTGCACTTCATTATTAAGCATGCGCCAGAAAAACTTTGGGTAAAGAATAAAGGAATAAAATTAATTTCTTTCCTTCTCCAAAATATAGGCCTCATATTCAGTTTTTTTTTTCCAGTAATCTTCACATACTTCATGCAGCACGAATTTGAATACTTTCAGTAATAATTGATGACAAGTTTACTGATAATGAAGAGTTACTTATCTCATTTAGTTGATTAGATATTGTACAAAATATCGTTTCATATCAAATGTTTCAATTATAAACATTATCTTGTATATTGCAAATCATGGTGTCTGTCAGAAGGTTCGTTTGTCTCCTATTTACTTTTGAAATGACGAGAGAACAGGCATGAAGAATGTTGATGGCAAATTTTATTTTGCAGCAGGATATTCTACACTAAATGGTTGGGGATTAATCACACTATTATTCACATTTCAAAATGTGACGTAACTTAAAGATTAAAAATGTAGGTTTACCGTATGTTATTTTCGAGCGGCTCTTAGCATGATTGAAATGCTCAACAACTACTTTTCGCGGTGGACGGTATAAGTAACTTGGAGCTTTGGCTCTGAGTGAAACCAAGAGTGCAACACAATTAATCTTTTAAAGTCCATGAAATAATTTAAACTGATAGAGTAATTGAAACTTTTCCCGCCACTGGCGACGGGTACTTTTGATAGATTAACTTAAATTTTCCCGTCACTGGGGATGTGTGCTTTTGCTTGTATAATTATATTATAGGTTTTGAATATTTATTTTATGAACCTACGGAATTATGAAACATCGCTTATTGTAGTTAGAGACATCTGTTGGGGAAGTGTGTACTAACTTTTGAAAACGTATAAAATTGACTCTGATATAATATTTTTTACTGTTTTGTTTCACAAAGCTTAATAACATTTTGCTATTCTTAAATCATTTAATTTGCAAAGATAATGTTCAGTACTTGTAGCTTCCTAGGATAAGTCATATAACAATAACATACACGTTTATATTTTCAGCAAGGAGATATTCTTGTTGCCCACTCAACTGACATTGGGTGGTCTCCGTACTTTCCACTTCTGAGTGGCATTGTTACGGAGTTGGGTGGTCTGATCTCCCATGGTAGGTTGCATTGGAAATTTTCGAAAATAGTAGTTGCTGTATGTCGAAAGATGTTAGAGATTTGATAAGAAACTAACATTCAGATTTAATGCCCAGTGTCATGCCACAAGAATTATGGTACATTACTTTGATGTTATTAAAATAGTAATACGTTAGGACTTATAAGAAAAACTACTGAAAATGTTACCTCTTCCCACCTGATGTCTGTTCCTCTAAACTTTCTGTTAATTCTGATTTTAACTCTTAATGGTGACGACCCTTTAATTAGACTAATTGTTTTTGTTTTTTGTTTTTTGTAATTAAACACAAAGCTACACAACGGGCTGTCTTTGTTGTGCCCACCACTGGTGTCGAAACCCGGTTTTTAGCGTTATAAGTCCGCAGATTTTTGCTCTGTCACCAGAGAACAAACCAAATGCACTGGTTGAAATAAATATCTCTCCCAGTTTCTCTAAAAAAAAGATAGATATTGGGGAAGATGGTGCCATAAGTGCATTGTTAAGGATGTTACCCCTTCTTAATTCTTCATCTTGCCGGTCTATTTACTTTCTCTTATGCCAATTATCACTTTAGTTCCTAGGAATACGCTTTAAATGCTGTTATCAACAGGGATAGCAACTATATGAGCTCCCCCACTAGATATGCTCAAATTGAGCTCTTACCACAATGAGTGAATTCTTAGAAAATTTTTGCACAATTAGTACTTTTGTATTTTGAGAAGCGTATTTTAAATCATTCATAAAGCTCTCGTAAACTTGAAATAACCTTTGAACTTTAAAGACGCAGCTGTTGTTGTTTTTCTGAATATATAAAAATAACTTCGATTCTATTTGACACGACAGCCTCTGTTATAAACACCAACATTTCTAAGCTGCTATGCCATCTTCAAATGTGTTTCTAATCACTTATCTTAGAGATCGTTACTGAAATTATTGTTAACAACAGAATGCATTGTTCCGTTTGTTTATCAACTAGTGTTCCACGAGGTAACGCCGTTATACCCTCTGTTCTCTGATTTATATCCTAGATTTTAGCTATATATATCTTTCTCTAATCTTGTATGCACTCATACTTCGCAGAATGCGGAAGACATTGTTTTATAGACTGCTTCCTGTCATTTGTAGTACACCACCGGTCAAGTGCAACTGCTTTTTATATGCCCCCTATATCTGCGGACTTACAACGCTAACAACCGGGTTTCGATACTCGTGGTGGGCAGAGCACAGATAGCCCATTGTGTAGCTTTGTGCTTAACTTCGAACAAACAAACAAGCTTCTTATGTAAGTAACAATCGGAATATTAAATAAAGAACTCCATTAAAGCAAGTTAAAACTCAGGTTATAGCTTTTTAAAGCTTAAAAGGGAAATTCAGTAATATAACAAAAAATAATAATTCAAAGTATAAGAAATTCATTTCGATGCTAGTACTTATTATTTTTATTCTAAGTTGTCTACAATTTCTTTAGAATTAAGCGCAGTTTTAAATTAAGTTTTACACTAATTGACTTTCTGCTACATCTACCTGGCAAGAATAAAATTATCGAGAGTTTCTTGAACTAACCATAACCTTTCTTGGTGACATCTATCCTCATGGAGTGCAATTTATAGCACCGGGTGCACTGTATCGTGCACGAAGGATGGCCAAAGCATTATATACCCTCAAATCTGTATGTTTATGTTATGGACACTTTAAGCCGTTGAGAAAGATGACTTCGTGACATCTGCAATTACGTTGTTTGAGTCTATCTCAGAGCATAGTTCATTGCTCCTGATACCATTTCTACTTCTTGCAGTGATACTAACTTTCTACAACGTTATGTATAAGTATAAGAAGGTGAATTCTGCTCTTTCAAGACCTGCCTGTCAAAAACTTTGCTGGACATCTATGGTATCTCAATGAAGAACTTGATGGTTTGGCATTCTTCGTTTTAATTGTATCCACAGAAACAAAAAGAGCAATGGAAAAAGCGAAATTGATAGCAGATTTTAGGAATTTCTGAAATATTTTGTTTTTAGCTCAGTATTTGTTTTTATTGTTATTTTTTGTTTCATTTACTACATACTATTATGCCTTTAGATAAACATATAATGAAAGTATTTTAACAAACGCCTGGACTTACTTATAACATTAGATATTTGGAACTTCATCTGTCTGTAGGTGCTGTGGTAGCGAGGGAATATGGCCTTCCTTCACTTGTAGCAGTCCACGGTGCAACGACCATTCTGAAGACTGGTAGGGGAAAAACGTATTTTGATACAGACATAACTTAAAGTTATAGAGAACAAACTCAATAGAACTTTACGTGTCACATTTATATCTACAATAACGTACCAAACCATGGAAACGTGATGTCACACTAAAAGCTAAATTACTCACACAACATTACCCAATTAGTCGAGTGCAATTCATGATTAGAAATAGGCTAAAGGTTTAGAAAGTTTAGATAACTTAATGCTATAGACCATAAAGGCTAAAGAACACATTTCATATATTTTAAAGGCTAAAAATATATTTCATATATAATTTAAGGATAAAAAATATATTTTACATATCTTAAAGCCTAAAAAAAACATGTTTCATATATTTTTAAAGGCTAAACAACGTGTTTCATTTATTATTTATAGGCTAAAATACATATTTAATTTATTATTTTTAAGCTAAGGAACGTGTTTCATTTATGATGTTTCTCGACATAAGAAACATCCTAAAAGCTTCAGTGTTGTATATTTAAAAAAAATCATTATTCTTGCTATTATGAGAGTGGATTATGTAAGTACATTTCCCGTAACAAGAGTGGTATAGACCTTCATTTATGATTTAATTGGACACAAAATATACGAATTTGGCCAACATTTTACAAGTTTACAATGATGTATAGATCTTATACGATTTCTCTAAATATGTTTAACACTGCGAACTGAATCACGATTGCTCTCAACTGTTAATGAAGCTTGATCAATATTCTAGTTTTAAAGCGTTTTGGTATCATCTTTATCATTTCCATTTATTTCTTGTTCATATATGATTGAAAACAAAGAATGACATATGATGGCGAACTGTTATCGCTAGTTCGACCATAATGTGAGTTGTTTACATTTATCTTACTTTGAGAACAAATTCGTCGGTTGTCGTTAAGCGCAAAGTTACACAACGGGCTATCTGTGCTCTGCCCACCACGGGTATCGGAGCTCTGTTTTTGCGTCGTAAGGCTGTAGACTTACCGCTGAGCCAGTGGGGAACACTTGGGAACAAAATAAGATGCAGTATTAGTTCAGTTCGTAGAGATAAAACAAGTGACAGCGATGTTACGGGACCCAACTATTTGAAGGTTGAAAAGCTTCTTGTTGGTCGTTTCCAAAGCTCTAACCGAAAGTTCAACCATGATTGAAGTTCGCAATATGAATAAGGTATTATAAGAAGCAGTGCCGATGACATCACGTATTTTCTATGTTTAGTAAAGACGCACAGAAGGAGTCAGAAAAGCGTCAGGCGGTTCCAAAACGTATTGCAAAAGCAGGAAGTCATATCACAGGACAAATATTGAATAAACAACGATTTGCTGTATTCTTTTTAGTAAACAGATGTGTGTTTGTTTGTTTTAATTTCGCGCAAACCTTTACGAGGGCTATCTGGCTAGCCGTTCCTAATTTAATAAAAGACTAGAGGGAAAGCAGCTAATCATCACCACCCACCGCCAACTCTTGGGCTACTCTTTTACTAACGAATAGTGTGATTGACCACCACATTATAACGTCCCCACAGCTGAAAGGGTGAGCATGTGTGGTGGGACGGAGATTCGAACCCGCGACCCTCCTGATGAGTGTATAGTTATTGGTGTGAGTTGTATAATTTTTATAAGGTAATACATTATATTCATTTATTTCAGTATTTTATGACGTTAATTGGACTTTCTGTGTTCTGCCCACCGAGGGTATCGAAATTCGATCTTCAGCATCATAAGTCCTTAGGCTTACTATTGAGCCACCGTGGAGCCATTAATTAGGATGTTAACTGCGTGATGTACATTACAAAATATCAAATTATATAGAGGCTATTTAGTTCTATTTATCTATTGCAATACATTTTAATACTGATTAATTTTTTGGCAGTAATGAGGTTATTACCATGCCCACAACTGGTCATGGTAGCGTATGACTTGAGACGTTAATTTGAGCATTTAGGTTCTACATCGTAACTAAATTTATTTCATACACCAACTAGATCTTCACACGCCTTTCATAAATGCTGATAAGACCGGATATTCCCCAATAAAGCATTTTGTGGATTTACTCTGCAGCTAGCTATCTTTGGGGTTATCTGTTTTGCAGTTTATTTTTCAATTGACGAGTTTTGGTTATTTACATATCAATATATATATTCGTATATTAGTCAGAATTACGCAACAGTTAAGAGGAAAGAAAACGAACAGTAACATATTTTTCTTTTTATTAACATTTTAAAAACATTTGAGACAACAAGGCCAAAAACGAGAAAGCTTTTTTACATGAAAAATAGATGCTATTTGTTTTTGGCCTTATGTTGTTTGAACATAAATATATATACATACATGTATATTACAAGAATTACTTCAGGCATCATCTTTTTTTAGTTGGATATTTGAATACCCTACTTTGTCTCCAGTAATGTCAACCATTTATTCTCTTATATTTATTTCAGGTGATCTGGTAATTCTTGATGCTACACAAGGTGTACTGAAGAAGATGGAAGAGAGAAAAGAAGAATAGCTCATCATGATTATAAGCTCTTAACATTGGTGATATTATACATATGTCACAATGAAAATGGAATTGATTTTGCTCTTTTTAGGTGTGTTTTTGGATGGGCTTTCTTTCTCTGATGTAGAATCGATGCAAAATGCATAAGATTACGTATGTTCTTTCTGAGCTTGTTGATTCAAAATATTTCAATTATTGAATATTTATATAAATTGCAATAAAGATAATTTCAGAAATAAGAATCTTTTGATAACTCGTGAAAATGCATTATAGTTTCCATAAGTACGTCACTCATACAGCGTTTCTTATATAATTACAGAATGTTAATTCGATAAAGACATGGGCACGGGTTGGCCAAAAACTTGGCCCACGTGGTAGAACTTTGGATTTTGGAACTGGAGAGCCATATTCGAATCCGTGCGATATCATTAAATATTACCAACGCGTTAAACTTTGGGTGCTTTAAGAGTGACAGACAATCCCTCAACACGGATGGTGGTAGTTGGGTGTCACTGACTGGCTACTTTCCCTCTGGTGACGCTAGCAGATAGCTTTAGTAGCTTTGCCATAAATTCAAGATACAAAGATAAAGACAATATCTTATTTCCAAGTCAGGATTTCTATTCAAAACGTTTAATGGCACACATACTTAATAAAAATTGTTTAAACTATAAGCCCATAATAGGTATTTCCTGTGTTTAACATAAATATTAGAAATGCTTACCATGTAAATAACATATAATTTAAGGGCAACAAGGGGCCTGTTGGTCAATCTAGGGTGTTCCATCCATTAAAATTAAAATAAAATACTGAAAGCCAGTCCTCATTGTTCAAATATCACGGCTTCCTTTAAACTTCCTTAAATCAATTGCACCCACTACATCTGAAGGCAACCCATTCCAAAAATCAACCATGCTGTTATAAAAATAAAGCTGTCTCAACTGAAAACGATTTCTACTCTGCCATACTGGTTTGTTTGTTTTTGAATTTCGAGCAAAGCTACACGAGGGTTATCTGCGCTAGCCATCTCTAATCTATCAGTGAAAGAATAAAGGGAAGGCAGCTAGTCAACTTTTGGGCTACTCTTTACCAACGAATAGTGGGATTGACCATCACATTATAACACCCCCACGGCTAAAAGGGCGAGCATGTTTGGTGGGACAGGCATTCGAACACGCCACCCTCAGATTGCGAGTCGAGCGCCCTAACCATCTGGCTATGGTGCCAATCTGTGTCCCCTAGTTCTACCATTCTCATCAATGAGTATGAAAAAAGATGATGCATTGACACTGTCATTTCCCTAAACAATCTTAAAACACGTCACTCAAATCTCTTCTAGCTCTTCTTTTTCAAGAGAAAACAATTTCAGAGATCTTAACCTGTCCTCGTATGACAACCTTTCAATCCAATATATAATCCTAGTAGCCCTCCTCTGAACCCTTTCTAAATGCAGATTTCTAAATTCTATAGGTTCTTTCTCCCACAGACAAAGACTTCGGGCATTTGTCAATAAATACACTTCAGTCCTTCTCATTTTCCACAATAACATAACACAAAGTTTAAGGACAACAATGGACATGTTGGTTTTGCTAAAAGAGTTAGGATCACATATAAAGTGTAATAGACTTAAAATAAGACCCAAAACTCGAGCGCTTTCGAATAGTTGACTTATTTTAAGTCTAATGGACATATTGGTTCATCTAAGCTATTGCCTGGGCCAGGAATAGTCCAGTGATTAAAATACCCGGTCTTTGGATTCAATGATTTGGGTTTACATCCCATTGTCACCAAAACACGCTTTACACTTTAGAGTCGTGGGTGTGCTGTAAGAGTCACGATTAAATCCCACTATTCGGTCAGACAAGAATAGCCCAAGAGTTATTGTTTGGTTGCTTTTGACTAGCTGCCTTTCTTATAGTCTATAAGTTAGAAATTAAGAACAACTATGCGTAAATAACCCTCTACGCAAAAATTCTAAACATAAACAATCTTTATAACACTTGTACTGAACATAACACGATGAACTCTTCCACATACATATATCAAGTGTTCAATGATCAGATCAACGGTTGTAGTTGACTGTAAGGTTGCTAAGCGTAGGGTGTTGTCTGAGAAAGTCTGATTTCAAAGTGTTATAAAGGTTGTCATTCAGCACAGCGAATATAATTGAAATATAATACTAAAACGTTGCATTGAAATTTTGCAACTGAATAATTTACATATAGCTATAAGCTCTGTGAATGGAGAAACAACAGTTGGAATAAACATTGGAAATTTGCAGGTTTGTAGTGAAAATCAAGAGGTAGGACTAAAGGTATGTTACTTGAATAGGTAAGAATGCATTGCATTAAATGTTACTAAATTATTTTATCCGTTAACAACACATGAGATCAAAAATTTTAGACCATCACTAAAATACTTAAACATTATTATACCTTCTACATTTTTTCGGTCAGCATTTGACTAAGCTGGCTTTTAAATTACGATAAAGAAATAACACACTGATTTCATATTATGCAGTCCCCTGGCGGGACATCGCTAAAATCTGGGGTCCGATTCCCCGCAGTGGACACAGCAGATATTCCAATGTAGCTTTGTTCTAAAAAACAAACAAACATATTATGCAAGAAAACAATTTTTCATAATTATTGATTTATTTTCTTGGAATATTTTGGAAGATGCTTTTCAAGTATTTTCCCATACAGTTGTTTGATGGTGCAGTCGTGTTTCAGTCACAAATGAGACGAACAAATTGCAAAACAGCTTTTTTTTCCGTTATTAAAAAGTGGGGTGTTACCAATAGCTTTCGAAAGAAGATTACTATATGAATTGTGTGTTGTTTCCTACTTATTGGTGAACTATATTTTCGTTATTACAGCTTTTAGTGTCATTTTGTGCATACTTTAAACCTTATTACCTTCAATAATATCAATCAAAGAAACAGCATCACTCAAGTTCAGTCTGACTCTTAGATATTTATTTTATTCAATCTAAGCTTTACAACACATTATAAAAAGACAGCTTTGAACGGAATTCATTTTAGCAAGTTGAAAACATAGACATTAGTTTATCATTTTGAATCTCAACTTGTCTAATATCGAAGTATGTTTATATTTATATATTAGATCTTAACAACATTAAAATGACCATGTAAAAGATCAAATGCTTTGGAAAAAGTTATTATTATTATCAACAGAATAGAACAGTATGTGATGACATAAATCCTAAATTAACGAAAGGGTTTAATTATCAGGGAGAGATTTATTCAGTTCCAGTTCAAACGTTTTTTTATTAACATCAGGGTTTGGTTTGTTTGTTGTTAAGCGCAAAGCTACACAATAGGCTGTACTTTGCCCATCGTGGGTATCGAAAAACTATTTTTAGCGTTTTAGGCTCTCAAACCACCAGGGACAACAACGGGGTTTTGTTAATAACAATATTTACCACATGGAAGCAATTAGAAGCTTCGCTGGGCACTGGCACACGGGTTCCGTACCCCGATTCTATTTGACAGTGCCTCGAATCCACAGTTGTGTCTTGAAAAATCAGAATAGAAAACCATGATTGATATCATACTGAAAAACCGAAAATTCCCGCTCCTATGTGCTCGAGCCCTGAATCTTTAAAGTACCTAGCAACGTCTATGGAAATAATTTTGTTATAAGTCTTTGTTTTGCTTGTTTTTCAAAACAAAGGCTTAATGTGAGTGATACACGTGTTATATTATAATAGAAACTACTAAATATATAGGTATAATAGGTCGTGTTAAGCTTTATTTGTGAAAAATAGCCAATTTTGCGCTTTCTGCATAAGGGACAATTCCCATAAAGTTGGTTATTTCCAACAATGCTTAACACGAGTATTATATTTTGAATGTTACTTTTAAGGTAAGTGTGGATTAGACATAATTTTCGGGAGTCCGGAGTCGTTTGCTACGGTATATCGTCCAAAATCATTTACATATTTTGGCACACTCTTGATTAGGAGTTTGTTTACTGTATTATCCAATTTTCCAGCTGTAAGAGCATAAATCAAGATTTTCTTTTGTCCATCCTTTACATCAGTGTAATAATGAACGTATTTTCTTCTACTGAAAGATTACTAACGCCACGTAAATAACCACATCATTTTGTCGGTATTTATGACTGATCTCCCTTCCTTTTAGGCTGTAATTTTAAAAACATAAAACAAACTCTAATGAAAACTTTAAACAAAACTGTAAATAGTTTTTATTTAAGAATGCTCAAAGTTCAAAAAGGAATTTATTGTTGGAGGTGTCCAAAATTTTTATTCTACAGCACACGAAAATACCTGGTAACACTGACGGGGCTTACTTAATTAATTAAGCAAAGTCAATTAAAATGACTCCGTTAGAATAACATTTTGCAGCTGTGGCTAAACTGAGAGAATACTCATAGAATTAAATTATTTTTTTACATCTAAAGGAAACCAAATCATATTCTGGACAGTTATGGCCCTCTAATACTTCAAGGTAAAATGTGCACACACATTGAATTTTGTCGGTAGCGCCGCTTTCGGCGAAGTTTTCAGTAAGTAAAGGAAATGTTGGTTTTATTAGTAGTAGGGTTGTTTGTGTAAAGTTGTAATGATTGAGACGTTTTTATAACCTTGATTTGTTTTCAGGAATTTGTGGGCCAGTATATATAAAACTGGATAAGTGGGTTGGATAAGCAACTGTTTCTATTTCAAGCATATGGTCGAGATGTCGAAAAATACATTCATTGTGGTAAGAAGTTTGTAGAAAAGTTAAAACCAAAAAAGTTAATTACGTACGGCAACGTTTCGTTGTATTGCTTACAAGGCACAACGCTAAACGAGGCCTCGTTGACTGTTGTTCGAATAACAGTGGTCTACAAGAAATAGTGTGTAGCTAATTGCTGTCTCTGTTACATAATTATTACCATAGCAAAACTTAGCACGTCGCGTTAATTTTTTGTGGAAATTTTTTTAGATATTATTTTTAAGATACAAAATAGATTTTAGTTTTTACAGAAATTGAATGACTACTTGATTACTACTACCAGAAACGTGAAAAAGGAAATATTGTTACTGTTGGTAATGACTAATAGTAATAATAATGATTAGAATTAGAAATGAGTTATTGAGATTCAAATCTTAATACAATGTCATTTTCTTTTTCAATTTTTTAAAGCTAGTTCGTAAAACTAGTAGTACATAATGAATAATATTAAACTTAAAGTTAAATCGTTAGTGTTTAAGTGTGTAAAATACATGTAAAGTATTTACAAACATCGCAGTAATGTGTCACTTTCACTTGAAAAGTTGAAACTTGCTACACACAGATTTAACTTTAGTTTATGGTGTTAAATTTATATGTATTATCATTTGAAAATTTAAAAAATTTTATAACTTCAATTTTTTACATAGATTCCTGATGACTTTAAGGGATTTAATCTTGATTCTTTCTGTGTTCCAAAACATTATGAAGATTCTCTGGAGACAGTGCTAATACCATATGGAATCATTCATGACAGGTGAACTTATCAGTATGTTTGTGTTCTTTTTTTCACTTTTGTAAATAATGATCATCTATAGCAGCAAAATTTCCATAAAATATGTTTAAATTACAAAATTGAAAACTTAGCTTATCACAAGCATGGTAGTTGCTCGTCCAAGTTATAGAAAAGTTTGAAAAATATAGTATCAAACTATGAAAAAAAAACTACAACTACAGTGGGATTTTTATTTAAATGAGAGAAATTATACAAATTTTAAGTTTGTTAATAATTTCTAATTAAATAGTATTTTGTGAATCATTAACGTTGTGTCAGAATTATGAACCCACAAATAACACATCCTGCAAGTTTTTTACTCCTAGTCAAATATTCTGAAGTTGTTTTTTTTCCATAATAACATGGCTCTGCACTCTTTTTTAAAACATACTTACAGCTCATACCAAACATGCTGCACCCTGACTGGTGTTAGCATAAAAATACCTAGTAGTTAGAAGCGGGAGACTGTTTTGTTTGGTTCTGAATCAAGGTCTTTAAGCTTTTGATGCCATTAAATAAACTCTCTCAAATCTCTTACAGCCCACTTTGTAAATTTCAGTATGTATATGATAACCTATGAAGGCAAACATGGAACTTTCACGTTTTAACTTTGCATGTAACAAATAAAAATCAAAAGTATGTCTAACAATCCAAAACATAACAATTCATTGTAATATCAAAACTTTGATGTATTTTTGCTCTTGCATATTTTCTAGCTTAGCCACTGTTTTTATGTATTTTTATGACAAAAGTTTTTGCACTGATAGATCTATCCTGAAGTTGTGTAAACAGTAATAAATATGTACACAAGAACTTGCTGCAAGTGTAATCAGATTGCTGTTTTCAGAAATCGTGTTTTTTGTTTCTTGTAGAATTGAACGACTGGCAAGAGATATTTCTCTTGAAATTGGTCAAGAACCGTTAGTAGCTCTTTGTGTTCTTAAAGGTGGCTACAAGTTTTTTACTGACTTGTTAGACAAAGTGAATCTATACAACCAGTATTCTTCAGATTCAGTCCCTATTGCTGTGGATTTTATTCGGCTTAAAAGTTATGAGGTAACTTGTGTGTTTGAAATTGTATTTGCACATTATACATTTGTTATTTGATTTAAAGGTAATCAAGGCTTATGTAGTTATATGCAATTAGATTAATAGTATCACTTAGATAAATGTTGCTGTATGTTTGGTCCCTGTTAGAACTTTCTGAATTAATGTACTATAATTGTAATAAATTTCTTTGTAGTTGAAATGTATCCATTAAATTAAATTTGGAAGTATGTATTGTAGATTTACATGCTTGTATATGTGTTGATATGCAATTTTTCTTATCTAAAATTTTTTTAACTTTTAAAAATTTATATAGAAGTATACAGTCTAAAAAACATATTATGCCTTTTAATATCTGTGTACATACACTTTTTTTAGCATTTGGAATAAATTTAATGGTGCAATAATGTTGTGTTGATTTGTATACAGGATGAGCTAAATATACTTAAGAAATCATGTGTGATCTGTAATGGTTTTTTTTTATTACTAATGGATATACAGGATGACAAGTCTACTGGTGTAGTTCAAGTAATTGGAATTCAAGATTTGTGTACATTGAAGGGAAAGGTTAGTTTAATATTTTGTATTTGCCTTAATAAATTTGATATTTTAGGATATACATTTTAATATAAAATTAAAATACAATTATCTAACCGTAGAATTCTAAGTTCTATGCTAAATACATAAATAAGAATTTCTGGTAAGTTACTTTTTTAATTATTGTTGAAAGTCTTAATATATATTACCATCAAAGTCACCCATCAGACACCAAAAGATAAACTACCTATTAGACATAAAACTTTTTGAAATAAACTCATCTACGTTTTGAAGAAAACCATGCTAACAGCGTATACACACTTCTGACAAATCATTCTACAGGTCGGTCACATTATGAGTGTAGTAGTTTTGTTATAAAAGCTTACATAAAGGCTTCCAATTCTTGTGACTCCAAACATGTAAGTCACTATTTCCAATCTTTATTTCTGGAAAATAAATACAGTAAGTTGTCAAAAGAACATGTATGTAATTCCCTAACCATTTTCAACATTCAAATCAAATCCTGCTAATTCTCGCATCAAAAGAAACTAAATTCAAATGCTTCAGTACAAGGCATATATTTTGAGCCAAGAATCATTCTAGTACTATAATCCATCTCTGTGCATTCTAGTAAATCCATATATTCTGTATAGTAATGAGATCAACTTGAAATAAGTTCTCTTAAAATGTCATAATATATAGTTTATTCAAAACAAGACCAATGTCACTTTTCGTCACTCCTTCTAATCAATTCTCTGTAAACATAGCACTCTCTTGATTTTACTTACCACATCCAAGCACTCAGCTGAAGACCATGAGGTGTTGATAGTCAGCCCAATAAGATATTTTCCCACAGCCTCGCTCATCTTCTCAGTAGAATTATTCCCTGTAAAAACTGTATTTGAAATTTACAATTGTACTTTTTATGAGGAACTACTGAGTTTACTGTTCTTTTTTCAGTTCTTGTATTGTAAAAGCCCTACTTATTAACTTTTTGTTAGGCACTTTCATTTAAAGAAGAAGCCATATGAAAAATGAAAATAATTTAGTTACAAAAAAAAATTTAATCCTCAGAAAATGCACTTCCACATAATTTTTCACAATAAATAGTATATTGTATTGTACGAACATTGCTTTTTATTGTAACAATCTCTGAAATGGTTATAAACATGTTATTAGTGTACATGTTGCATAGTCAAAGAAGTAAAAAATTTCCTTAAAATAAATAAATATTATTAACCTGCTGGATTTACTGTCAAAATTATGAAATAGTTGTTTTCATAAACCTTACTAATAGTAAAAGTCTAACTGACAAGTTTATAACTTCCAGAATTTTGTTTGGAATTCGTGGATGTAGTATGTAACACATATAAATAAAAACAATTACAGCCTCAAAACACTTGTTTCTAATTATGAAATTTATTAATTTTAAAATAGGTTACAAGGGAACATTTAATCCTTTAATGCTATCCTTCTACACCCACCCTTGAACAAATGCAAAAAATTAAACACTTTTTATTTTTTGGGAAATCGTTGATTTCCATGCTAAATTTCCGTAGAGGACTGACTTCCATTACTGCTAACAGTAACTCATTCCATAAATCAATTATCCTGTTGAAAAACATAAAACTGTCTTAAATGGAGTTATTAGCCTTTTCCAAATCTTAAACTTGTGTTCCCTTGTCTTATTATCTTCAGAATTTAGCCTAAAGAAATCAGATATTTTTATCCTATCGATCCTCCAGATAATCTTGTAAGTTTCAATATGATTACATGTTATTGTTCCGGAATGTTCTCTTCAGTTTCTTTCTGCTTCAAAAATATCACATTTGTATGTTTTATAAAGCTTAAGATATTTATTGTGTGTAATCTAGATTTTCTTGCATCTTTTTTAATAAACCTCAGTGGAATACATGAAGTAGTATTGGTTTGTCTAAGAACATTTCTAATTATGTTTTAAGTTAGCAACACATTAAGTTTTGGTTCTTAGTATTTAAATTAGGTATATTGCATATTCACATGAGAGGTTTAAAAGTCTGTATTACTTTTTGATGTAAACTATATTATCTAAGAGTGGAGATGTAGAACATGTATTAAAAAAAGGTTACAAAAAATTTTGATTTTATTTACAGAATGTGTTGGTAGTAGAAGACATTATAGACACTGGTCGAACCATGATGAAACTCCTTAAACTGCTTGAAACTTACCAACCAAAAACTGTAAAGGTGGCTAGGTAAAGGCCAGATTTTTTAACACTTAAAAAAAAAGAGAGAGAGAGGTTCTGTTTACTGAATTTTATGTCAATGTTGGGTTATACCATTACAATTCTATTACTACAGTAGTTTTCATGATAATGCAATGTTTTAACTTTTCTGGAAATTTAAATATATTTTATTGGGAAAACTTTCATATTTCCGTTATTCAGTTTATATTTTCTTGACTGAAACAAGATGTGTATAGCAATTAGTATTTCAGTTTTTTATGGGTTACTGTGTGTATATTATTTATATGTGTGTGTGTGTGTGTGTTTGAAGTACTGTTTCATACTTGGAACATTACCACCTTTCCTTTTTCATATTATTCGGAAAAGAATCTAGTGGTAGAATTAACTGTTCCAGAAAATAATGTTAG